TCCTGTGAGGTACTCATTTATGAGGTACATCTGAATGCTAAAAATAATGATGGAATTTTGAGTACTAACGCCTATTTGTATTGCCTTCCATTAATGAGAGTTATTTTATGTGTCTACCGTGTGTTCTTTCTCACAGGATAGTTGGGAGGATTCAGCAAGATAAAGCATGTTGACAGCCTAATCTGGTGTTTGCAAACCCAGGAAAAATATTCCCACCCTTCTCCCCATCCCCGAAATAAAGAGGTTAGTCCTTGAACTTCGAAAGCACTTTATACATAAGAAGAAATTAGTCTTTCTGTCAGCATCCTCCTCAGCATGATTCCGAGTTCCTCCCAAGAGTGCCTTCTCTCTTGTAAAATAAACGCTTTATACTATTTGAAGTGCACATCAAGTTTTGTTTTTGTTCAGTGCTCTTTACTTTCCACTGTGAAACGTTATTTCTGAGGACTGAAACCCCAGAAGGAAACATGTTAAATGTGTTTTTTTTAAAAATGATGATTGAAAGGCAGACGTGGAGAGAAGTCAGGTTAGGAGGGAGAAGGCAAATGCGGCCTCTGAAGGGAACTGTTCTAATTATTACCTAAAAAACTAATGTTACACAACCACATTCAAGGACACAAGGCAAAGCACTACTTTAAAACTAGAGGGACTGATCAGGTCGGTGAAAAGCACAGCTGACACAGGAAGGGAAATGCACTTAAGAATAATTTGAATTGAGACAATGAACCATCAGTCCTCGATGCTTCTGTTATCTGAATATATCCAGTTTCCCTGTCTCTCTTTTTTAACTCCCACGGTATCTTTATGGACATCTCAAAGCAGTATTCTCACAGACCTAAATAATAGTTATCATTTTGTTAGGATTCAAAATTTCAATCCAGTAGCCATCAGGATCTTGAATAAATGCCAGGCCTTTCATTTTACCTGTAAAATGAAATGATTTTCATTATTAAAAAGACTTAAAAACTTTTAAAAGATGCCAGGCCTATTTTACCTGTAAAATGAAATGATTTTCATTATTAAAAAGACTTAAAAACTTTTAAAAGATTTTTGTTACTTCAAATTTAATTTGCATTCTTTATAGTATTAATTTTTAAAATTCTGTTGTCATTGTTGCCCAAATGCATGTTTTTTTGGAATGACTAATATTCTATCTTCTACACATAGCTGGAAACCAACTCTAATGAAATAAACTGTGGGACTGAATACATCTTTTAGGTAACAGGTGAGTCCCTCCTCTTTACAATATCACTTCATGCTACCAGCTGAGTCATTACAGAAATTGTCATATATATATATTGATTTCAGAGAGGAAGGGGGAGAGATAGAGAGATAGAAACATCAATGATGAGAGAATCATTGGCTGCCTCCTGCACGCCACCTACTTGGGGGGGAATCGAGCCCACAACCTGGGTATGTGCCCTTGGCCAGAATCAAACCTGGGACCCTTTAATTCATAGGCAGACGCTCTATCCACTCAGCCAAACTGGCCAGGGCAGAAATTGTCTTATTTTAGAGGAAGAAGAAAAGAAGGAGGTGCTGGAGGGAGCAGGTGGCATGGCTCACCCACAGCCACAAGACCCAGATGCTCGAATCATACAACCCTGTGAAGACTATTCTGGGAAACCCAAGGTCTGCCGATCCGGTTCGTTCTCACAGGAATTCATAACTGGGGTTGAAAGGCTAGTAGGTCTAGCAAGTAGAGCTGTTTGCTTAAATGGAACAATATTGACCTCGGAAATTTATGGGACTAAGATGCTGAATTAGTTGACTCCTATCTCTAGTTCCTTTCCCCAAAATCACCCCAGAGGAACATAGCAAGTGGCGGGGGTGGGGGTGGTAAGAACCCCTTGGGTGATGGTTGTGGAGAGGAATTGTGGGGATGAGGTAGGGTGCCTGTTTAACTGGTCTATGTGGAAGGGGGTACTTTTGGCCTGGACCATCATGGCAGTCCATCATGCCTGTGGGAGAATAAACAGGAAGAGTTTTGTTAATTTGATTCTTGCTCCTCCTAGTAGCTGGGGCATCAGCACCACCCCCACACGAGGGGGAGGGAGTGGGAGAGGGTGCGTGGTCCTGGTTCAGATGTCCTCGGGAGTAAATAATGGCACCGGACACAGAAGCCTGTGGGGAGCTGAGAAAAACACGTGGGAACCGACTGATCCCCTCCAGCCTTCACTTTCCACACAACCAGGCTTAGGGGGGTGACAATCTCAGGAATGTCTCCTAGTAATACTGCTAATATGTAGTCCTGGAGGGACAAAGCAGGAAGATCTAACCAAGAGACTTGTTCTGCGGAATGTGAGGTGTTTAACTGTTGTTTTCAGTGCCTAGGGATTTCTGCCCAGCCCACCTTCCTGTCACTGGGTTGTCAAGATTGAATCTGGCTTTCCCCTCATTCACGTTGCCTGATGGGCTGGGATAGCTAATATTTGCAATAAAAAATATACCCTCTGAGACCAAAATAACAAGAATTTGAGGAACATAACCATAAAATAAACAATGGATTATAGATTCAAACAGAACAAATATTAGACCAATGGACCAAGAACAATTAAACATGTGAAAGTGATGAGGAATATGAAATATAACCAATATGAATCAAGAACAAGAAAAGTTAAAGGGCCCAGCTCAGTGGTTGAGCATTGACCTATGAACCAGGAGGTCATGGTTCCATTCCCAGTCAGGGCACATGCCTGGGTTGTGGGCTTGATCCCCAGTGTGGGGCGTGCAGGAAGCATCCAATCAATGATTCTCTCTCATTATTGATGTTTCTGTCTCTCTCTCTCTCTCCATTCCTCTCTCTGAATCAATAAAAATATATTTTAAAAAAGAAAAAAAAAGTTAAAGCAATCAAGCAAAACTTAGGAATCAAAATTATAATAGCTGAAATAACACAATAGATGAGAACACAAAAGATGACTATCAGAACAGATACATTTGAGAAAAAAATTCAATTTTTTCTCAACTGGTATGCCAGTTTGAGGAAATCTCCTAGAAAGAAGGCAAGGAAAAAGAAATAACAAATTTTAAAAGCTTCCAGAACAAAACAGAAGAACACAAATCAGCCGCCGCTGGTAGCTCAGTTGGTTAGAGTGTCGTCATGATACGCCAAGGTCGTGGGTTCAATCCCGGGTCAGGGCACATACAAGAAGCAACTAATGAATGCATAAATAAGCGAAACAACAAATCGATGTTTCTCTCTCCCCCTTCCTCTCTCTCTAAAAATCAATAAA